GGAGAAAGCCAGGAAGGAGGTTCTTCCAGGTTTATGTACTTGGCCTTCTCTGTCTTGCCCCGAGCCTATTCGAGAGTCTTATGTCTGTCTAGGAAAGGAGTAGGTGCAGAGAGGGTGAGGTGCAGCCCCGGCAAGCAGCATCCCAGGGCACACAGAGAATGAGGTCCTGGCGCTCTGACATCCAGGCAGCAGCCGCAGCTGGCGGGGTCGAGGGAATGCCCACAGGGGGGCTGGGCAGAGATGAGAGGGAGCTGAGGAATGACGTGGAGGGTGGGGCCCTTACCCTCATGTGAGAGGTGTGACTGCTCCTGGGAACTTGTGACCAGCTTGCTTCTTAGAATAACTGGAGCAGCGTCAGGAAGCAGTGGAGGCCGGGGCAAGTGTGAGCGGTCTGTTAGCAGAGCCCAGCGGAGGGCTGACCGGGAAGGGGGGCGCCCACAACAACCAGCCCCTCCCCAGTGATTCAGCAACTAAGGGAAAGTCCTCTGTATAGCAGCAGACAAATGTGCACCCCAACAGAGGAACAGTCCTAATGTAGCCTCCACCCAACCGTGTAGGTATAACCCCCCGGGGAAATCTCTGGTACTGAAACATGTAGCCATGTGAGATCATCCCAGAGAGAATACACCTCTAGAGAAATGTCACTCAATATGAAAATAGTCCTTTTAGCTATAACTTCCATCAGAAAAAAAACTACTCGTAATATAGAAACAGCCTTAATGTGGGTATATCAATATAAAACATCTCCAGAGAGAATTCCACCCCAGTGTCGTCTACTTGAAATACACCAACAGTTCATACTAACTGAAGTGCATTCTTAGTGAAGTCACAACTGCAAATATTGCCCATACTACAGGAAGCTTTCGCCCACCCCCCACCCCCAAAAAAAGAAAAGGAGTGATCAGCCATCTCTGGCCTACCAGCGGAATCATATCCTGAGCTGGCCCCCAGCCCCGGCCCCGCCCACAGGCTGGGCGCCGCCTTTGGGTTGGCTAGTTTTGCTCCAGGTATCTGACTCCCAGAGCATCACCTCCAACTCCTTCACTTTCTAGGACAGGGACAGGTTGAGAGAGGAGTCGTGATATGCCCAAGGACGCAGTTAACTGGGGATGGGGAGGGCGGGGTTAGCCTAGAAGCATTTGTTCTTTGCCTCATACCCCACACCAGAACCTTCTGGCTGGATCCTGACCCCCCTGCCTTGGGCCTGTCTGCTTTGCCACACAGCTCTCCAGGAGAGGGCTCCTGAATTAGCCATTTCTAAATGTCTATCAAATTCTCGTGTGTCTATTGAAACCTCTTCTCCCTCTCTCTATCCCACAACCGAGGGTGGGAGGTGTGATCACAGCGGGAACCCTGTGGGGTGGACAGGCGGAATGGGGCACATTTCCTGAACTCCTTAGTGAGTGCCAGTCCCTGCCAGAGACTCGGGAGGTGCCCATGAAGCAACACCCAGCCTTTGCTGTCCACCAAACTAGAGGGCAGGGACCCCCAGCAAAGCTGACCGATGTGAACCAGTCCAAGCCAGGTCCTGACACACCCTCTCCCCCACAGCTGTGGATTATGCCTGCCTTCGGGGGCCGCCCTCACTTCAGCAACAAGGTGGAGGTGGGCTTCTACGGCTACTCCCTCTGGGCAGCCATCGTCAACATCTGCCTGCCTTTCTGCATCTTCTACCGCATGCATGCTGTCTCTAGCCTGCTGGAGGTCTACGTGCTGTCCTGAAGCCCCTGACAGACACATGGAGGGGGAGCTCAGCTCATGCACCCACCCAGAGACCCTTGGAAATGAGCCCCCGGCTGGCAGTCACTGTGCCACGTTACCACCCATTCCCCACTGGCCCCAGAGTGGAATTTTCACAGAAGTTATTTTTTCAGGATGTTTTTAAATTGCAATCAGGACATGCCCATCCACCCCAGCATGACCCTGGTGCATGGGGCTACCGGACAGGGAGATCTCTCCCTGAAGTATTTCTAGAACCAGGTAAGATCTGGAATTGTCAGTGGCTCCAGCTCCACCCCTAATCCCAGCCCTGTGGCTTGGCCAGTGCTGCTGCCTGGACCTGGGAACCAATAAATCTGCTATTTGCCCCCTGTCCCCCGCTTCTTGTCTCAGCCACAGCAGAGGCTCTTGGGGATCAGAGCTGGAAGGGTCCCTAGAGATCTTCAGGCCTTAAGCTTTTCAGTGGGTGAACCAAGTCTGAGTTACAAACCAGCTACAGACTAGTGCCTGGGCGGCTGGGCAGAGAACCCGGGCTGCCGCCTTCCACTCCCCTTTATCCTCAAGTGACACACATTTTTTATTTGTTCCACGACATGGGAAAGGTTAGGAAGTAGCGACCTAGTCCAACCACCATTTTACAAAGAACGAATCTGAGGCCCAGAGGGGTGACGTGACTTGCCCAAGCCACACAGCTGGAGGGCCAACAGCAAAAATAATTTTCCAACAGCAGAACGTCTTTCCCCCATAAATAAAATATCTCAGGAACCCAAATGTATAACACAGATATAAACAGGGCTGTCCTAGTTTGAGAGGAGTTGGGGTACATACCTTCACCCCCTGGGCCGCCTCTGCCCCAGCAGCCCCACTCCCTGGGGGTCCCTGCGACTCCTCTAGGACAGGGAGAGAGATTGAGAAAGAGGCCCAACAGCTAAAAGAGGGAAGAACTGGTGGCCAGCTGAGTCAGGCGAAGGGGGGACAGGCAAGAGTGGGGAT